GCCTCCGTCCTGTCCGCGCCCCGCCCGACACAAGCAGCCCAAGCCCCGCGCGTGGCCCGGACGCCCCATCGTCTCGCTCCTGATCCAAGCGCCATCCCTCGCGGGGCGAAGCGCGCGTGGAGTCGAGGACTCAGAAAGAGGCTCAACAGTCCCGCAGCAGGACCGGCCGGAAAGCAGCCCGCGCCGAGGCTGCGCCCGCGGGGCTCCGCAGCGGGGCGTCCACCAGGACCCAGGCGCCGGGTCCCATCCCCTCGGGGCTGCGGGGGGCAGCGATCAGCGACTCTCTCATCGCCCATGTGTCTCCCTCTCCCCCTCTCTCTGAAATCAATGAAGACATATTTTAAAAAAACAAACAAAAAAAAGACTGCCACTGCTGGGCGATGATTCTCAACAGGCGGCGCGTGTGCCCAACGCCTGCGAGACGGTGAGCAAAACACGGGAAGAAGGTACCAGAAGGAAACTGGGGCTCTTTCGCAGGTGACGTCACAAAGCCCCCGCCCCGTCAGACACGGAGGCCGCCGCCCACCTCCCTGCCCGGCGCTGGGTCCCACAGCTCATGCCCGATATTTCGTCCAGTTAAACAGACTCTGCGGCCTGCTTTAGAAGATCAGCTACCACTTAATACATTTTTCCTGGTGGGAATGTTTACAAATTCCCACCACTCCATCAACAAGGCAACTGCTTTACAGGAAACCACTAGAAGAGCAGAACAGTCACGGCCCTAGAACAAGCCTCAGCGCCCTCACCAGGTCCCACAGTCACTCCAGGGGGCCGCCACATCCCACGGTCACTCCACTGGGCCACCGCGTCCCACGGTCACTCCACTGGGCCACCGCGTCCCACGGTCACTCCACTGGGCCGCCGCGTCCCACGGTCACTCCACTGGGCCGCCGCGTCCCACGGTCACTCCACTGGGCCACTGCATCCCACAGTCACTACACTGGGCCACAACGTCCCACAGTCATTCCACTGGGCCACCACGTCCCACGGTCACTCCACTGGGCCGCACACGCACAGAACCCTCACGAGTCATTTTAAATCTCCAAGCTGGTTTCAGTCAGAAATTCTCTTAGAAATAGAGCATCTTACCTTTAAAATCATTTCTTGCTCCCAATCCATCCTTCCTGTTCATTTTTACGTCGGAGCAGGAGTTCGCGGCGCCTTTGGAGTTTTCAAGGTACGCTGAGCTCGCTCCTTTCTTGGAGGGATGAGGGTCACAGAGTTTTGCATTAATCTTATAAAGCTCGAGGGCTTTAATAGCTGCTGCATTGTTATCCATACGAAGAAAAGACGGGCAGGAAGCACAGAACTCATTCGTGCAGGCCTCATTTCCGCAGCCCTCGGTTAACTGGTGGTAGTAGCGTTCTATTAGATGCTTTGCGGCTGCTCGCTTCCTGTCCGAACATTCAAACAACAGCACAGTGATTAGTAAGCCCCCAGGTAGAAAGCTCCACAGATCCCAGCGAGTTAGTCAAGCACCAAGTAATCAGCTCGCACACTCAGATGAGCTGTAGAAACAGAGGTCTACTGACAGGAGGCTTCTTTAACCAGTGAAATATTCAGTCAGTCTCCTGACATTATGATAAAAATACCAATGCTGATCAAAATCACTGTTTTAACAGAATCTGCATTCCTTTGGTTTAAAAGTGGGGGAGCCTGTTTGATGGTAAATGTAGTTAAACTATCATAACAGGTGAAGCTCACAAGATTTATGACTAAGAGTTTTAGTATTTTATCACTTTAAAAATTAACATAAGAAATGAGTCTATTTAAAGTATCAACCCGGCTTTCCTTTATATAATCACCATTTTATTTCATCCGTTTGTAAAATACCTGCTTTATAGTTAACACAGAAGTGTTTCTTTCCAGAGAGAACTCAATTATCTTCCATATGGGGGATTTAAAAATAAATTTATGAATGAAATATCCAATACTGTGTTATCATAAATCTTGAACCGAAACGTGCCATTAAAATTCCTCATTAATGTCATGCCATAGGAATAGGAAATACGTTAAATTCCCTTGGGGCAGAATTGTGTATTCCTCTTACTTTGTGAACTTGAAGTATGCAGGTTAATGTCCCATCATGGGCTCTTGTTCCAGCAGAGCCACCCACAACATTGAAGAAGGGACTGCGCATTCCGTCACGCAAGGAGCCGGACCACGACCTATTTCCAGGTTCCCTCGGCTCTGAGGTCGGGCTTCTACTCTGACTCGAGGGCACCATAACCTGAGCCGAGCAGTCTACTGGATCCAGAGCAGCTCATTCACAGCTATTCCTTTTGGTCCCAAGTTTGCATGCACAGAATGAAAACTACAAATAATCAAAACTCTAAAAAAAAAAATTTACCTAATTTAATTCTCAAACTGTCCCCACAATCATCATACTATTATGCAGGACTTGCTGGCAGATGGCATTAGAGTTTGCATCTTGTTAACTGTGAGATGCGTCTTGTTAATCGTGACAAACTGCACACTCACAAGAAGGCAAATATGCAGTACAAAAGGGGGGATCCAATGAGTCCAGTTTTCCCTCAAAAGTAGGACTCTGTCTCTCAGCTATCAAAGTGGCAAAAAGTAACAATGCAAACGCACCCTACTCATTCTGCTATTTCTACTCTCCAAATATACCACTCAGTGCATTCGAGCAGGGAAAAGATCCCCTCCCCCAAAAAACACTTAAAAACTACATGAACATGACTAAGAGGTATTTTATTACATGTAGCTATATACAAGCCCATGTTTGAAAATTAAAGACTATTATTTTAGATATATCTCTATGCAAGTATTAAAGTGACTGCATGTAAACGGAGAGATATGGAGAGGCTGGATTTATACCACGTGCTGGCACCCCACTCGGGACTCTCCAGTAAAGGTGGGAGGCTACTGCCAGCCTCTCAAGGGCAGGAGCTTTCTCTAGTGGGACTGTAAACAGGTGCGTGTCTCCTTTCTGGAGGAAAAGTAGGAACACCCATCAAGTCTTCAAAATGAGTCAGAATGAACCATGTAAGTGACAGATCCCACTTGTGGAAAATAATTGGAAATTTTTGCAAAAATGCACTGTTTCTATGAAATCTGAAAAACGCCCAAAGACACACGATTACTTAAAACAATTACCATTCACACAATGAGAAAAATAAAAATCACCAAGATCTGAAACTGGCAAGGACCTGTCTTCCTCACACAGCACTGACAAGACTCAGTTACAGATGAGCGAGTGTAGGGTGAAGGCATTGCTGTTTCAAAGTGTGAACAGCCATTTTCTCTGAATAATGTAACTGAGTGGGTCTCTTAAAATTCTTGTATCTTTCTACTTCTAATTTATTTTTTCTACCGTAAACATGCAACTTGCATAGTAATTGCTACTTGCAATGAATAATTATGGATGGAAAAAATGTTAGTGGTGTAAAAACTTTATATGCATGATTTAAGTGACCTCAAGGCTTACTATAAACAGTCAGTATGATTTTTTTTAAAAAGTATTGCCCTGGCCGGTGTTGCTCAGTGATTAGAGCATCGGCCCAAGCACCAAAGGGTCACCAGTTCGATTCTGGGTCAAGGGCACGTACCTGGGTTGCAGGTTTGATCCCTGGCCCGGGGTGTCAGGGTGAGTGTGGGAGGCAACCAATCAATGTGTCTCACATCTATGTTTCTCTCTCTCCCCCCCCTTCTTCCCTCCCCACCGCTCCCCTCCACTCTCTAAAAAAAAAATGGAAAAAAATATCCTTGGGTGAGGATTTAAAAAAAAAAAGTCAAAATGGTGGTCTACCTGAGAACTACCATAGCCGTGAGTTAAAGGAGTTAATTATGTAAAGTGTGTAGAACACTGCCCAGAACACAGCAAGCACAGGGAAGAGTTAGCCACTACTATTATTACAATTATTACAACCCTCACAAGTCTATAAATCAGTGCATTAACCCTGATTCTACTGATGCTCACAGCAGTTACATAACAAGGCACACATCTAAAAAGAGATTTGAACCCAGGCCTGACTCCAAAACTAGGGCTTTTAATACCACTGAGGGGAGATTTAATACCAGTAAGGGAAGACCCAACGCCTTGGAAGTAGCAGCTGTCTCAGATGGGGCTGGAAAGAAGCCACACCAAGGCCTCCTATCAATGGAATCAAGCACAGTGTTTTCCTGTTTCCTCACTCCCGTGACACCCTGAACTATCTGTGTGCAATTCTGTGTCCCTGTGAAATTTAGAGCACACAGGTCAGGAGTGTGGACACTGTTCCTATACAATGGGAGTCGGCCAAGTCATCACTCAGGGGCCGCGTCTAGCCTGCCACCTGTTTTTATAGCCTGCAAGCTAAGGAAGGTTTCTATAATTTTAAATGGTTGAAAAGTCAGAAAAAAACACATTTTGTGACATGGAAAATTATCTAAAATTCCAGTTTCAGTGTCCACGGCTGTTTTCGCACTAGGACAGCAGAGCTGAGTAGTCTGACAGACACGCTAGGCCTTGGCCTGCAAAGCCGAAAATAAATAGCACCTGGCCCTTTACGGAAAAATTTCTCACGTCTTTATTTAGAGTCGTGCTCCCTGCCCTCCAGGGACACTTCCACCTAATCACAGGCCTCCGCACTCTCTTCCCCCCGGCAAATCCATGCAGCAAAATGTGTGCCCGTCCTAGGCAAAATTAAAGAAAAGGGAAGGAGGAGGGAGAGAGGGAGGAAGGAAGCATGACGTTCAGGGACACCTTCTCCGCCATTCTGAACCATGCCACCGAAGAGGAGCCGGCGCTGTCCGCCCCTCCTCACACCTCACCGCGTCTTCCCATCCCAAAACCAACCGGTCCTTTATGACAAGCTGGTTCCCTGTGAAAGGACACCTTCCCTACGGTGAATCAAGTGAGACTTGGGGGAGCGAGTCTCAAAGTTTAAGCAGACACCTGAAAGCGCTTCCGCACGTAAAAGGCTGCTTCCCACTCCGTCTGATTTCTGGGGCTGCGGCAGTGATCCGGTCCCACAAGCACATGTGCTATGGAGCGAATCCCGTGCGCAGGGCCAGAGCGACTCTAGAAAACTTGACAGAAACCTTTTTAAAAATGGTTTCACCTTAGGGGAGAATGTACTGATATCAGCAATTGACTACGAAATGCGTTTTAAAAGATGGATTACATGAACAGGTATATGATAAAGCAAAGGAAACATCAGCGGTGGACTCTACATGGTGGTGGGCTCTACATGGTGATGGACTCCAGATGGTGGTGGGCTCTACATGGTGATGGACTCCAGATGGTGGTGGGCTCTACATGGTGATGGACTCCAGATGGTGGTGGGCTCTACATGGTGATGGACTCCAGATGGTGGTGGGCTCTACATGGTGATGGACTCCAGATGGTGGTGGGCTCTACATGGTGATGGACTCCAGATGGTGGTGGGCTCTACATGGTGATGGACTCCAGATGGTGGTGGGCTCTACATGGTGATGGACTCCAGATGGTGGTGGGCTCTACATGGTGATGGACTCCAGATGGTGGTGGGCTCTACATGGTGATGGACTCCAGATGGTGGTGGGCTCTACATGGTGATGGACTCCAGATGGTGGTGGGCTCTACATGGTGATGGACTCCAGATGGTGGTGGGCTCTACATGGTGATGGACTCCAGATGGTGGTGGGCTCTACATGGTGATGGACTCCAGATGGTGGTGGGCTCTACATGGTGATGGACTCCAGATGGTGGTGGGCTCTACATGGTGGTGGACTCTAGATGGTAGGCATATGGTGTCAACTGTAAAAACTTTCAACTGGCTGCATGTCTGGAAATTTTCAAAATAAATCTCTGGGGGAAACACTGTTACCGTGTTGCAACTTTTCAGAGAGCAGGTCAATTGGCAAAAGAACTGGTTTTAGCATCAGTGGCAAAAAAGGGAAATCCAATGCCTGGGTCATCAAGGGCACTAATACCAGCACTGGAACAGTCCAGTACTTAACAAAAAAAACAAAAGCCCCATAATAATAATAATGAAAAAGAGTTATAAGTTGACCATAACTATGCACAGCCACTGAATTTAACGGTCCAGGTGACAAACACCAGGAAAGCGTGTTTAATGTCCCTGTATCGACGGCCAACCACGGGGGTTAGAACCATGGAAGTGGCTGCCAACAGCACAGGCGGTGAAAGCCAGGAAAGATCTTAAATTGACTCTACTAGGTGGCTGGAAAATAAGCGACAAGTACAAGACAAAGATGAAGCCATAGAAATAGCAGCTGTCAGAGAGTGAAGATGTGTCAGCGAGCAAACAGCAACAAGATGCAGATCAGAATTAAAGATGACAGAACCTAAAAGAAATAGCAGCTGTGACATGCAACATAAAGCTAATGGTGGAGACAGAAGAGCAGAGAGCAAGGCCAAGCTCAGAAAGAGCCTGTGAGCAGAGTGCCTTTAACTTTAACTAAGGGTGAAGGTGGGAGGATCAGGAAGCCAGAGATGCAACCCAAGGGCCCAAGCGGGTGTGATCGGCCCACAAGGCTGACCAGCAGCACTGCTTCTCTGGTGTCTCAACCAAGTGGAGTGTCTCTCTGTTCCCTCAGGGATGTTGCCTTTGTGACGCACCGCCACTCCCCCAGTTACATTTAACGTAACAATTTTGGGAGCGTGAACAAAGGTAGCCTACATAGTACTAGGCCTTAGAGAAACAGATGTGACAAAAGTCATCTGTGACACAGTTCAGGTTTAAGGCTGGGCCTGTTACAACCCAACTGAGCGAATTACGTGAACTCATTACTACCACAGTCCAACCAACAAGACTTTAACTATAAGGTAAGATCTAGTTTTCATTAAAAATTTTTAATATAAATCAATAATTTTACTGTTCGAAATGTATACCAGAATAACCCCTAATTAATGATTTATTGATCTTTATAATCTCAATGCCCAGAGTGCTTGTTATACAGTAAATACAAAAATTGTAGAACTAAATATTTATAGAAAATCATTCACTTTAAAAAAAAAAAGTTTTTTTAAAAAGTGTCACATTTTACATTAAAGTTATAATAAAAAATATATATATACCCATCCACCTCCCTCATAATACAGTCAGCATCAGTGTAGTGTACCTGTAGATCTCTGGGACGATCGTGAAGTAAATATGTAAATATGGTCGGCATCAGTGTAGTGTACCTGTAGATCTCTGGGACGATCGTGAAGTAAATATGTAAATATGGTCTTCGATGGTTTTTTCCAGATTCAAAGATAATCACAATAGAAAATGTAATTCTTGGCTAATTATACACTTGAGTATCTACCGTGTTGTAAATTCTGTGATAAAGATCTCTCAGCTTATTATTTTGCTCAAGTAAAACCACAAAAGTCAGAAAAAGAGAAGACAAAAACGGGACAAAGAGCAAGGGCAACAAACATAAAACAATGGCGAACATGTCAGACATCAACTCAACTACATCAGCAATTGCTGTGAACACCAATGGTACAATGCACCGATTTAGAGACTTTGTCAGAGTGGGTCAAAAAGTAAGATCAAACTGTATGTTGTCTACCCTTCGATTATAAAGACACATAGCATGTATATTTTTCTCCTATTTACTTTTAATCTCTAACGACATATTTCTAAACATGAGTCAAAGAAGAAATCGCAAGAAAAACAAAAAATATTTTGAACTAAACAAAAATAACATCAAAAGTTGTGTGAAAGCAGTGTTTAGAAGAAAATTTATACTTTGAATACATATATTAAAAAGATCTAAAATTAATCGTCTAAGCTCCCACCTTAGTAAACCAGAAAAAGAGCAAAACTTAAATCCAAAGCAGAAAAAAGGAAATAAAAATCAGAGCACAAATCAATGAAACCGAAGACAGGAAATGAACAAAAATCAACAAAAGCTGGTTCTTTGAAAAGATCGATAAAATTAGTAATCCTCTAGAAGGCTAAGGAGAGGGGACGTGAGGTACTAATGTCCGAAACGAAAGGGGAGACATCACTACAGACCCCACAGGCACTAGAAGGGGAATGAAGGAACACTACGGACAACGCCATGCCCACAAATTTGATAACTTGGATGTAATGGATTAATTCCTTGAAAGACAATCTGTGAAAGCTCACAAGAAGAAACTGACAACCTGGATATCTAATTTTAAAAAATTGGATTAACAAATAACAACTTTCCAAAACAGAAAGCACCAGAACCAGATGGGTTCCCTGGTGAATTTTACCAAAACTTAAAGAAGAAATTATACCAATTCTCTAAAATCTTGTTCAGTCTACTGATTAAAAGGCTCGGCTTGCCTACCCGATGATATGATGCATGTAGTACCGAGCACAGTGGCTTGTCATATGCTAAGTGCTCATCAAGGTGGTGGGAGTACCTAAGTTCTCTAGGCTGTGTGCATACATATCACTGTATTTACAAATAAACTGATCCCAAAAAACGCCTACATTTCTGAAAGAAAATTAAAAGGGCAGAAATAACCACTTTGCAAAAGTTTAGTCACTTCGTTCTACCTAGAAAGGATGATGGTAGCCTGAGGACAGTGTCCTGGATCATTCCGACACTTACAGAAAACTAAGTGTTTATTTAAATAGCCCTGCTGAATACTGAACCATACATCACTCAATATATTTACCCTCGCTCCAGTTACTGTCTTAGTCACACACCTGAACACAGAGCCTAAGTGTCAGAGACACAGGTAGGGAACAACTACCAAAGATGAGAAATATGGAGTTACTGCAAATTACTTTGAAATCAATAAGAAACAAAGAGTCTAAATTAGTATGTTCAAAAAGACTCTACTACATGGTGTGTATAAATTTAAACAAAATCCAGGAAGAACAGACATGCCACTAAATAAAAAATCTGCATTATTGTGTTACTTCTATTTTTAGGCTAAACTAGAAAATGACATGCAGTTGTTAAAATTTTTACTGTTTTTCTGCACCCTGGGAAATAGGCAACACTAAGAATTCCCCAAAACAAACAGGTATCTTCTTTAATTTCCTATAAATTACTATTTAAGATGTGCTCCGTGTTCCCTAAAGGGTGCCAAGTACAAATGTGTCTCTAAGTGCCCAAAAAATCATGCTTCACTCACTGTAAGACGCTGCCACTAATTGGACACCCCAGCTCACTTTTAGGTAAAACCAAGAATCCTTCATTCCCTGTTTTGTAAATCAGGACTCACGAGATTATGGTAAAACAAACCTGGACCTATTCAACTCACTAAACTGCTGCCTGGGTATGGTTTCTGCAGGTACAGGAACTGGAGGAATGGGGGCCGACATGAAGACTTAGAGCTATACTCCCATAGCAATTATGGTTAGAACCTTAGACACCTTTATTGAGACACCGTGATAGATCTAATTTCCCGTTACTCTACCTTAACCCGGCCACATTGAACAATATGACAGCTGGCTAAAACTACCAAAACTTAGAACAAAAGCTTCATCTGCAAACTTGTGACAAACATCCTACCGTGCCTCCCATTCTTCCAGCCTTAGCTTCTGCAATGAAGTCTCACCTATGCTTTCCCATTCTTTCTTCCTGGTCCATCCCCCTAACCTGATGCACCAAGATCCCTTGGAACCCATTTCTGATGCAGGTTGTCCCCTATTTCCAACTGCTCTACACAGCGGTTGCTGACCTCTTAGCTTTCACTAAAGCCTGGCTCACCCCCAAAGCCTTTGCTCAGCACGCACCCTTTATGGGAAGGTTTCCTATACAAGTAAAACCTTTAAGTCCATCATTCTTCTTCTAACTCCTTGTATAAAAACAAACATTGCTCATCTCCCCAAACACCACACAACACAAACAAAACTTGTACTTTGAAACTCATGTCATCGATCTGAATACCTTCTTCCTTTCTTTCATGTTCTGGTACATTGTACACACAACTAAAGGCTCTACTTTGCCCCCAACTGCACCATCAGCATGGTGGCCCTAATGTTCGTGTGCCTGATCTAGTTCAACACTAACCCCAAAATACTTGACTTCCTTAACTTACACGGCCTTCACCTCCTCTCTATTTCAGACCATCGCTATCTCAGGCACAATAAACACACAACCTCTCTACCTCCTCCTCACCTATCCTTTTAAGAGTTTCACTTACACCATCTCTGACCTCTCAGGCTTTTTGTAATCAACCCAACATGTTCGTCTGGAACAACCTTTCTACTGGTGGCCACTGCCAATGACATAAATTTAAACCACTCCAACATTACCATCCTACACATGTGCCACCAGGGATTCTGTCCCATCTGCTCTACTGATCCCTAACCCTGAAACACCTTGCTGCTTCTGGTATGACAAGGTCTCTAACCTCAGCCAGCCACTCAACAGTGTGAAGACACTCAAAATTATTTGGTCCCCTTCTTGACATATTCTGCTCAGTAGCTTTCTAAGTTTTCAGTCTTCTCAAATCCCCTAACCAAACCTCATGTTCCACAAAACACTGTTTTAAAAAACCCATTTCTTAAAAAGTTATATGATCCCACCCTGGCCAGTGTAGCTAGTTGGATGCCCCCAGTAGGGGGCGTGCAGGAGGCAGCCAATCAATCAAAGACTCTCATCACTGATGTTTCTCTCTCTCTCCCTCCCCCTGAAATCAATAAAAACATATTTAAAAAAAAAAAAAATTAACTTGGCCTTCCCTGGCCACCCGTTTCCCTGCCCTCTGGATTGGGTTCCTGCACACCTGAGTGCCCTGGTCCTCTATGCTCCGTTTCATCCCCAGCATCCTTCTACCACAAGGACTGAAATGATCTGCTTCTACGTCTTTCCCGAGTAGACTGTAAATTTGTGCAGGTTAGGAATGAATTCCTATGCATCTTTGTGTGCACGGCACCTGATGCCTTACACACAGAGGGCACCTAATAAATGACTGTTAAACTGAACTCTTTCCCCACCTCTCTCAATTCCTGGCAACAACCTCTCAACTTATCTTTTAAAGCACTACTCTCGTTTGGCTGAGTTATTTTCAAATATGTGGTACCACGTAAAGCAATCTAGAGAAACTGAGAAGACAGGCAGCGCACCAGCCACTTACATTCGGCTAGCTTCAATGTCGTCCGACTGCGGTTCTCCTGGTGATCTGCAAAACGCAAGTGGGGAAAGCTCAGCAAAACATGCCACATTCCACAAAGGGGCAGATGTCATTGGGGAAGACAAACTTGGAAACAAGATTTAATCATTAACAGTTTTAAACGTAATTCAAGATTTCAACATGAGAAAAAAGTGGTCAGATTCGACTGCCATGCAACACATTTACTGTAGGGCTGACTAATAATAACTCAGAGCACTTCTTGTTAAGGACAGAAACTGTACACACTACATTTAGATACCAACATACAAAACAGCGTAAGTCATATTTATTCACAAAGTCAAATATTTATAATAAAAACATACAACTATGAAACTTCCTACAACCAAGTATTGGCTATATGCAGTATTCTAGATATTCACTGGTATTCATAGTCCCAAACTTTAGGTCAGGGGTCATCCCAGGGGTTTGCCTGGGATGACAAACTGGGCCTGGGGCAGCTGCACTGGTCCAGCTGTGTTGGAGCCCAGCCACGCCCACTCATTTACATGCTGCCCGGGCTGCTTCTGCACTACAGGGGCAGAGCTGGGAGACGCAGACACATAAGGGCCTGCACACCTAAAATGGTTATTATTTGGCCCTTTTAAGAAAAAGTCTGCCTACCTCTGCTCTAGTTAAGTCATATTTAAACCCAATAGCCTTAGTGAATTTTGAGACAGGTCAGATTTACCATTCTGATCATGACCATCTGGGTTCAACAATGAAATTGGCGTTCCCTGGAAATACACTGGCAGGGTGGGTGCCATTGGAGCACTAATGCTCTGCTGTAGGTAACCACCTGTGACTTAACAGCAGCTACAAACAGCTGCCAGATATTCTCTATTAGTTTTTAATATACTGCTGCTAATGCATGTAGAAATACTCAAAATTCTGAGACACTAAGGGCCTTTTACTTTCATTCTGGGGCATGACCCGATTTTGCCCATCCCTACCACGCTGTTAAAGAAATTCCCTTTACAAGCAGCATCAGTCACTGTGTAGTAAGGTGGATCAACAGAATACTGATTAATAACACTTTGAAATTCTCAAAGTAAGTAAAATATACTTTAGAGGTCAAAAGCTCAGTTTTCACAATGACATTACAAAAACCTGATTTGTGAATTTATCACTGACTTGAGGCTTCGAATTTTGAACTTCAACAAAAGCATCTCAAAATCAGAGCCCAGCAAAAAAGTGTTTTATACATTTCTTATCTTTAAAAAACTAATTTATCAGACTTTTAAAATTACCCCTCACTATAGGTCAGAGTCTGGGGGGAAATGGGGAAACAAGGGGCTCCAGCATCTATGGTAGATCTTCCCTGCAGTATATTTACATTTTTGCTTTCATACAAGATTCTATCGGAACTAAAGATCAGGGCGTGCTGAAGGTGGCAGTGACTTGGCAGTGACAAATGCAAAAATTTCACTCCACCCTCTCCCCCAGGGAGCAAGCAAATCACCTTGGTGACACACCTGGTCTCCACCAGCCTTGTGGGCAAGAACCCCAAGATTGCTTCCAAACTGGTGTCTCTCAGACAGAAGAGCTAAAAACTGATGATAACCCCATGTGCCAGCTGACTCATTTTTGAAAGTGCGACCCTCCAGCATCAGGTGTCATACTTTAAGGAGGCAGAGCAGGCTTGCAAAACAAAAAATAAACCTGCTGGCACTAAGGGAAGAGAGGCAGGTTAGAAGCTTTCAAACAGGTAGGCGGCAGAACTTTCCAAATGAACGGGGGAGGGGGGGGAGGATGAGGGCACAGTGACAGGAAAATTAAAATACTCCTGCAGAGAGGGACAGACAGGAGCGAGACGGCAAGTCCGAGTCTGGGAAGCACAGTGAAACTGCCGCCGGGCTGGGATTCTGAAATGGGACAGAGGTGAAAGACATCATCAAATGGCAACGACATTCGACTTTCCAATTGCTGATCCCGAAACAAGAGACTATTAAATATTAGCATCGAAAAGCCTCCCGGCTATTGTAAACATACTAGGTTATCATTTAATATTAACAAATTAAAGCAAGCTACTAAGAACCATTATAATCAAACCAAGTAATTTAAACCAATTCAGGCTAACAGAAAAAGAAAGACTGAGAGACTATTACCCTAAAACAGAGCTATTCCGGGTCTTACACATGGTTGACACAGTTGTTCTTAGTATGTATCGGAATAAATGTCCAGATTCTGCTTATAGCATATTTCCACGGTATTCTAAATACTTTACCAAAAATATCCCAAAGTTAGGATTCCAAACTCTCAAAACCACGAAGCAGCTTTACTGCCAGGGTTTTGGAAGTAAGGGTCCAACCCGTGCTCGCAGTTTTACCACATTCAGGAGAGGTCATCGCAGGAGAAACAAAAACTACGGACTCAGGTTCACGTACGGTTGGTCAGAGTAACAAATCAGAAACGAAATTTAAAAACTGAAACAATAAGCAAGGAACATTAGAGAATGAAACACAAGCTCGGAAGAGTCTGTTTTAGGTGCTATCTGGCGGGCAGAAAACGAGGCCCCTGCCGCCCGCCGCCCCGAACACCGCCGCAGCCCGAGCTGGAGGCGGCCGCGGAGGCTCCCTGGGCCGCGCTGCCTCAAGCTCTCCGGGAGAGAGAAGCGCTCCCGCCAACGTCCAGGTACGACTCGCGCCACACAGGAGGCACACCTGAAAATGCTCATTGAGAACTTTTTCATAGTTTCGAGAATGTTCAAAATAAAACGCTTATTGGAACTTTTGAGGGCTACCTTCCTTTTATTCACACAGACAGGTCTGGGGGAGGGAAGGGCGCGGAATATTTTAGAGAGGAGAGTAAATGGAGAAGCAAATCAACTCTTGCCAACCATACATTTTCTTCACTTTTTACAGACTGTACTTTACTTTACAATGACAGCCTTTTAAAGGCTGTAAAATAACATTCAAAAATTACCTTTTACAAGCTGTGGCCATTCGTTGACATCAGGGTGATCACAGCTTTGAGTCACTGATTAAAAACAGGTTGTCACACCAGTCTAGCTGCTAACTTGATCTGAGCGTAGATTTAATAATTCTAATAAATTAAACAAATCTTTAGTTAGAACACTTTATATATACACCCGATTCACTGTTCAAAACATAATCTTCAAAGCTTCCAATGAGGTGTTAACGCAACATTCATCGGAAGAGTAATCACAGAAATTCTTTAAGGACTACTTCCCAGAACTTTTCTTAACCCATCTCTTCAGAAACTGGTAATCATCTCTTGTACTTTTATGGAGGGTCCCAGTTTACAAAGGATGGTCAGCAACATCTTGATTGACTCTCATGACAACTTACTTAGGCTCTTACCTAATCAGGGCAAACACGAGAGTAACAATTTAAAAAATAACTAAATAAGCAGCCTCAGAGTGATTAACTGACTTGCCCAAGATTTTAGAATTAGTGGTGGAGCTACTAAAACCCAGTTCTACCGACTTTCCACCCAGGGTTAGAATCTTCTGATTTGTTTCATTTTCCTACATGTTAAATGCATCATTTATAAATAAATGTAAATAAGTAAAGATTTAGAACATGGATTGGGACCCACAATTATGGTAATATTTAAATGGGACTAACAGTCACAGTATTTTCCAGGTAGCCAAATGCTTAATAGAAGAGCTATGTATGTACATATACACACATGTTCACCTAAGCCTAGCCCCACTTACTCTATTATTTAAGCAATTTAACATGAAAATGGGTTCAGCTCTTTCTCAACCATATACCCACCACTATTCAATTTCATGAAACAGGCAGATTATGAAAACATTTCCTCCTCCCTAACCTAGGGCCGCTGGATCCCCTTACTTGGCCTCAGCTAACTTTCCTGTCACGGTCAAACTCATCGGGCATCTCAATCATGCTGTAGTTCTGCAGGCATATGCCTGAGACGTCCAGTATCAAGAGCTCATTTCATGGAACCAGTCTTTCCCTTGATGATTTCCCTGCCAAACTGTGCATCCAGGCCCATCTGAGAAGCCAACTCAGGAAAGATGAGAAAACTGGGAGAGAGGAAAAAAGGACCTTTGGAAACTCACACCTTCGAGTGACAGCCACAGAAGGTGGTTACGTGAAAAGGCGAAGTAGCTGAGAACCCCAAGATTGCGTGACCCCACACCTCTACAGCCTATAAGCCTGGGCTTCAAATTCAGATACAGGTGAGGATTGGCATAAGTACACACGTAACTTTCGGGGGCTGTAATAAATGGGACATAGAATACCTGGAAATCATTCAGTTTCTCAGGTTTTCCAATCACAGCTCCTGTCTCCTTGTAAGAACCTAAGAACATTCCTGAGGTCCTATGGGGATGAGGCAATGGTGCCCTGAAAGGAACCAGGTCCCCTCTCGGGTTCCCACAAGACAGACAGTGTACTTGGACTTACAAGGACCAGGCAAGTCTCTCTCCCCCACCTGTAAGTATAAGCATGGGACACTCAAAATACCTTTTAAGTAATTAATTGAGGTGCATGAATTCACTACAGAGCCGCATGGAGTTTGAAAATTACTGAGTCGAGTCCCCTTCTGGCCCCTTCCGCACGAGGTCCAGCGCTCGGCAGAGCACAAGGCTCCAGAGCCGGCCGGCACTCGAGCCCGTGCGCTCACCGGCTGGCTGGGGAATCTTGGGCCAGCGGCTGACTCTCCCTGAGCTGCTGCCTCATAGGTAGCGCTAAACGAACAGTGGGATCTATTTCTGAGGCTGTCACGAGGATGAGCAAACCAACACATGGAGGTTCGAACAGTGCCCCGCACACAGTAAGGTCTCAACAAATGGGAGCTATTTTTAACCCAGCGTAAGAGCAAACCTGCCGCCCCGTCTTCTCAGGCACACTGTCTTACTCCTCCCAGCACACTGACCTCCTCTAAACTCAGCACCCCCCGCGGGCCCCCCACACCGTCTACCTGGGAGCACAGTGATTCAGCACCTGGCGCGATGCTCCGAACCTGGCAGGCACCCACATCTGCCGCACGCATTCGTCATTACTCTAACCGTGCCACTCAGATACACATGCAATCTGGAATTCCAAGAAAATAAAACAGAAACATACCATATTTCGCTGAACTTCTGAGGAGCTGGTGGTTTCTAAAATCAGGATCTTACAGGGGTTTAACCTAAAATATAAAACATCTCACTCAATTTCTTTTATATAAGACAACTGCAAATTCATTTTTTATAATATTCATGAGCATCCAAACACACACGTCAAGAGACAAGAGCCCCTGCTGTGGTACGCAGGGGCATGAGGCTGGGTAGGCAGGCGTGGCGGAGGGCTCAGCTGGCAGACCCATGCCTCCCGCTGTCACTAGAGCTCCGCGCAGGCCCTCTCTGCACTCTCACCTCCCTCCGCAAGGGCTGAAAATACATCACAACTGCCTGACCACGTGCCTCTAATTCCCTCATGGACCCACAGCAGTTTAGCTTTTAACTGAACTCTGTGTGCTGAGCATCTATGTTAGGCACACATGTGGGCATCTATCTTTCCACTGCCTGCCTTGGGCAGGTCTGACCTGTGTGCCTCAGGTGCCAGGCTGTTGTACTAGAAAAAATGTTTTAAAAGTATGTGAAACAGTGCTGCCAGGTACATAATAGGGCCTCAACATGTGGTAGCAATTATTTTTTTTTTTAAATTTATCTTTGTTCCAAGTATTACATATGTCTCCCCTTTCCCCCTCTGACCTCCTCTACCACGCACCCCCCCATTTCTTAAATCAAATGTATCTATCAAAACTTAACTCTTATCAAAAAGCAAATTCTGAAGCTTACAGCATGCACCCAAATAAACACTGTAAATTCCTAACTCATCTGTAGACAGAGTGTCTCAGTGGAACAGAAACTGAGATCCATTTCCTTTTATTACATATGAAGAAACCAAGTCCCTGAGAAGCCCACCCAGTGCCCTACAGGATGACGGTAGAAAATGAACACACATGCACAGCTGACCCTTGAACAACACAGGTTTGAACTACACAGGTCCACCTACATATAGTTCTTTTTTCCAAAAAATACTGTAATTGTATTTTCTCTTCTTTGTGATTTTAATATTCTTCCCTCTAGCTTACTTTATTGTAAGAATAAAGGATATAATACATGTAACATACAAAGTACATGTTAATCGACTGTGCTATCTGTAAGGTTTCCAATCAACAGGCAGCTCCTCCTCATTCACGGCCCCCTCCAAATTTCTATCGCTAGCCCCTTCTCTTAACCTAAATTAATTCTGTGCAACATCACCCATTCCCACAGCACCTCCACACTGAAGATCCTGACATCTTTTTAAGTCTTTCCCTCTTGAGTTACAAGCCTTCTACTCTGTTATCAATGGTGCACATCTACCTTGATCTAAAATCAAACTCAGTTATTCACAAAAAAACTCACTCCACCCTGAACGTGCCCAATCTTATAGTCCTAGTCACGCAAGAAAAAACTGGTCCATCCCCCTCTTTTTACTGAGCCTAACTACTGGGTAGGTTGATACTTGTTAACCTCCAAATTCTTAGCCATTCACTCAAAAAATGCCTACTAGCTAAAACTAATAGTACAGTGCTATATGTCAGTTACAACCCAGTAAGAAATGTCTACTAGCTTCTGTGTACCTGCTGAGTGGGTGAAGACGCAATGATAAAGAACCCAGACATGACCTCTTGTCCATGTGATGCGGAAAATGGGCACGAATAATAAAAACCACAATAGCCCAGCCAGTGTGGCTCAGCGGTTGAGCATCGACCTAGGATCCAGGAGATCTGGGTTCCATTCCTGGTCAGGGCACAGGCCCGGGTTGCAGGCTCAACCCCCAATAGGGGGCGTGCAGGATGCAGCCAATCAATGACCCTCAGCAATGATGTTTCTATCTCTCTCTCCTCTCCCTTCCTTTCTCTGAACTCAATAAAAACATACTTTTAAAAAATAAATAAATTATACAATTGCAATGCGCAGTTAAGTGCTGTCAATGAGCAGCACCGGATATCTGCACACAGAGCTCCTACTGAGTGTGGGAAAAAGAAGAGTCTTCATGAAGTGAAATATAAACGAGCTGAGGCACGAGCTGGATTTAGCAGATATTAAGAAAAACCCACGTAGTGAGGTAACAGCAGCACTATCAGTCCAGCTGCACAAATGGGAAAACTGTGAGTCCTGTTCTGAAGAGAAGGCTTCCTCCCTCTCCTTCCCAGTAGGCACACGCTCGCCTAGTGCAGCCACTCTCAGAAATTCCTGAGATCCCCCCGCACGCCAACACTAGCTCCAATCCGTCCTCTGTTGGCTCTGAATTGCTTCCAAAACAAAGCCAATCTCCCAAACATTTCAGATGAAACAAGACACAATTTGGCCAAAACCTGTCCTTCCAGCCTCTTATCTCCCAGACTAGACCAAGCTTCAGAGAACATAACATATGCAACATTCATTTTCTTTCTAGTGCTTGAAAATGGTAACATCTTACAAAAGAGGGGCATCTTCTGTTGGGCAGCTTGTTTAGGGCACTTACTAGTAAATACGAGACTGAGATTCATACAAGCTGCCTGCTTCCAGAGGCCATGCTCATTCCCTCTACACACTTCTAATTTATACTTGAATCCTGTAAATTTTAACTTTGAAACACCTCTTGCTTCCCCCCGCTGCATACCAACACTGTCAGAACCCCATTACTTCAACTGGTTTCCTTCTGTCTCTACCCTTGTTTCTGTTGCTAGAATTATCTTCCTAAAAACCTGAATTTGTCCATGTCACTCTCATGCTAAAATTCTTTTATTGCTTTCCCAATGCCCACAGGATAAACTTCAAACTTCACACCCTACCCGTCCGTGCAAGCCTACTGCCGACCACGTGCCATCACCAGCAGGTACCTGGGACCCAGTCCCGTTGCTGGATTATGGCGATCGTGCGCTGGCCACCTGCATTTCTGGCTCCAGCGCACGTGTTTCTCAGGACACGGCATTCAGAGATACTACCCTGTCCTCTGCTAGCCTCCACCTCACCTGTCAGGCCTTGTTAAAACTCTACTGGTTGTAAAGGCCATATCCCGCAGGGCTCTCTCAGCTCTTCTGTAAACAACCACTGTCTGTTTTGGTCTCACTATACGTTCCTAATATCTTAACAATAATTTATTAATTTCTACCCCAAGTTTGTCAGTGCATCTAGTCGTAAGCTGGCGGATGGGAGGTAGAGCTCATCTTACCCACATTTTTACTTTCATACTAATGGGGACTATGTTTTCTTTTTCTTTCCTCTAATATTCTTATTGATTTTTAGAAAGAGTGAGGGAGAGGAAGAGAAGGGAAAAAACATGGATGTGAGAGCTCAACGCTGATTGGCTGCCTCTTGCACACCGCCTACAGGGGATCCAGTCGCAACCAGGGTGTGTGCCAGGACCCGTGCACAAGACACAGCCCACAACGGAGTGACACCAGCCAGGGCAGGCCTGTGTTTTCTCAACACAGTGCTCTTACAGGACTGGGAGATCCCAAAGTTCTTCCCAGCCAGGGTGAAGACAACAGGGTGACCCTGGAGGCACTCGGAGAGTACTAAGAGGGGCTGGGCCTTTGTGGTAGCTACCAGCCTTAAACTAAAGCCTTCTCTAGGCACTCAAGCTGACCAGAGTTACCTGGGGGGCAGCTAAAACAAAGTTTAACATTCTAACAGAACAAAACCCAATCACTAGACTACAGACTATACAGTGCACAGCCTCCAGTAAGAAATTACTAAATATGCAAATAGGAAAATAGGACCCATAACCACAGAAAAACCCATCAATAAACTCTGAAGTGAAAGACCTGATGGATTCAGTGGATAAGGACTTTCAAATAACTATGCTCAATACGCTCAAGGATTCGAAGGAACACTACATGAACAAAGAAGTAGAAAACACTAAAACAAATCAAATGGAACTCTAGAAACACAAACTAAAATTTCTGAAAGTATCTGACACTGTAGGGGGAAAAAAACAGTGAAATGGAAGAGACAGCACAATGACACACAGACACACAAGACTAAAAATAACCTGTAATGGCCTGAAGACAACATCACATGGTATAACATACGTGCAACTGGAGCCCCGAGGAGACAGAGTAGTTGGAAGAGGGGCGCACATGGGAAGAAATGAAGAAATGATGGTTGACGCTGTTTCAAAGTTAACAAAAGCAAACTCACAGACTAAAAAATAAGAAAGAACTCAACAAATCCTTATCAGGATAATCACAAAACCAGTGATAAAAAAATATTTTTTTAAAAGCCAGAGAAAAAAGACTTTAAGTACAGGGAAAGAAAAATAAGTATAACCACAGACTTTTCCTCAGAAACAAATGCTCAAAAAAACCCCAAACATGTCAACCTACAATTATCTATCAAGTGAAAGTAATCTTCAATCTATGAAGGCGAACCACTATATATCTACTACCAGGCTACATCAGAAAGAGTGCCAGCCCCAAATGCTGGCAAGGATGTAGGGCAATGGAACACTGCTGGCAGGAGCATAAAACAGAACAACAAATTTGGGGAAACGATCTGCAAATGTATAATAACAATCCTACCACCCAATGATCACATTCCTAGGTATTTATCCAAGAGAAAAGAAATCACACATATCCACATAAAGACTGACACAACTGTTCACTGCAGCTTTCTTCATAACAGCCAGGCACTGGAAAGAGCCCAGGTAACCGACCCTTAGTAGAAGAAAGAAGTTACAAACTACTTACTGGCACATGCATTAACATGAATAAATCTCAAAAATATTACACTGAGTAAAAGAAACCTTATACAAGTACGTACGATATAACCTATATGAAATTCTAGAGCAAGTTAATCTATGGAGAAAGAGATCAGCACACTGGTTGATTTGGGGGGTGGAGGCAGGAATTGATTAGGAAGGGGTGTAAGATTCTATAACTTGATAGAATTTGGTGCTGCAAAAGTGTACGCATTTATCAAACTCATGGAATGGCCTATGTGGCAGACTGTATTTTTCAAAGACGGCCACCAAAATATGACCTGTCCCACGTGATCTTCAGACAAAGTTAACACTCCCCTCTTGCAGTCTACGCTCAAACCTGGCAGTCAAAGTAATCTTGCTAAAAACCTAAGGCCTCTTTGCTCCTCTTTTCAAGAAACTTCAGTGGCTCCCTATGACTCAAAAGGTAAAAAATCAAATACCTTATTATGGCCAAATGGTCTGGACCCTACATTCTGACTCTACATCCAGTCACTTCCTTTCCTAAAGCCACACTGGCCACCTTCGCTATTCCTCAGACACACCAGACACTCCCCAACCCCAGGGTTTCTATATTCATTACCCTTTGCCTGAAACATTTCCCCCACATACCCACAGGCTAGGTCTCTCCTCTTCAGTTCTTTATTCAAGTTACCATTTCAGTGAGGTTTT